CGAAATAAAGAACCTGGATATGTAAGCAACATTCAGTTGCACAGTGATTGTGTTGACTACCGGTATCTAGTAGCTTTGTTTGTTTAATGACTTGAACTATTTTTTTTTCTATAACAACTCTTGTTTAGGGCATAACAAAATGTTTATAATTCTAACTGAATATTTTATAATGGAACTGAGCTACAAAAATGATCGCTGTATTGAAAACGAGAAATCTAAAGCTAATATTCATAACGTAGAGATGCTAACGAGTTTTCGAGTACTCGACTATCGCTTGGTCATACCGACTATCGACTACGCAATTTTTCAATTCAGATATTGGCAAAAAAAAAAAAAAAAAAAATACTTAATTTCAAATTCTGATCATAAGTTCAAAGTAGGTTTTTTTTTTTTTTTTTTTTTTTTTTTTTTTTTCAGCGTGTCTTATGTGTCAAAGTTAGACAATCCTCGGATGTTGTGGATCAAATTATCTTTTAACAAGAACGATTACATATATAAGCGGTAATTGCGGAGATAGATGTGATTGATTGATTGTATGTTGCTTAAGGTCCCATGCGACAATTTTTCACTCATATAGAGACGTCATCATATACCGATGATTAAGGGCTTCAAATTTTGACCTTTACTAGCCACTCAGGGCCATTGAGCAGTGAGGGATCTTTATCGTGCCAACGCCTGCCGTGACACGGGGCCTCGGTTTTTAAGGTCTCATCCGAAGGACCTGCAACTTTCACTTCAAAGTGCCGAGCGCATGGCGAAGGAACTGTTGCTACCCATTTTTTTTTATCGACGTAGGTCAGTTGCGGCCGAGATTCGAACTCACGACCTCCAGATCACGGAGCGAGAGCTCTACCGACTGAGCTACCTCGAACGGTAACATAGATGTGTGAGTACTTCGAAATTTCTTTTGATATTAACATGAATCGACTTATTTCGTGATATGTTTTTGTTGTTGGCACAGGATATATAATAATCACCTAAAATTCTATCGTGTTTTTTAAAGTCTAGATTTTTAATGTTTGTGAGTCATGTGTCAATAACTGAGCTGGAATAAGACATATTTAAATTTTCTCAACTTTTACATCATATATTTTATATTACGAGTTTTTGGAGAAGGGAAACAAGCCATGTTATTTGAATAAATGTATTAAGATAAAATATGCTGTAAAATGATTTAAATTATGATACATGTATTACAGATATTCCTGCAAGTAGAAATACGTTGCATTTGATGAAAGCATGATTTATATAGTGGCATAAGACGCAGGCTAAAAACAAAGCTTTAAAAAGTTTTATACTGCATTTAACAAGTACTCGACAATACTGTAGATCACTATATTTTTGCCACACCTTATTTTTCGAGAGAAAGTCAATGACTTTTCATTAGCGAGACAAAATAATCATGACGGCACAGGCCCATAGGTTATGAGTATCTACGAACATGCATTAATCTGCTTTATGTCGGCGACGAGGACCACAGCCATAATATTTTGAACTTCATTTGGCTAAAAAAAATATACATTTTTTTTGTATGCGTAAATGAACTTACACAGACACATTCCAAGTGTTTTATTCCATTCATTACCATAAGAACACTGCGAACCGTCCTCTCTGAAAATGAGACAATCATATGTCAATGCATTTAATAGATAATGTAATACTTAATAATTGACCTACAAATAAAGCACAAAAAAATTCCAGAATGTTTCTTTTTTCAAGATTGTAAAATTTTCAAAGTTAATCAATATGTACTGGAGGTCAACTCACTCAATTGAATAGTGTATAAAATGAATATTTTTTTTTTTATATCAATATCACTAATTCCAGATATTTTGATCATCAAAATATCTGTTTGTTATAAACTTGCATATAACTTGTGATAACATTGGAAGGAGACTAAATTGATTTTTCGTTTGTGTTCAATATATGGATTGATAATTAAATTAATGGTAACCGGTGAACAACGAAGTATAGACACACTCTCTCTCTCTCTCTCGATCGATCGATCGATCGACCTTGTGCAGAAAAAAAAAATAATACGAATTTCAAATTTCGTCTGCAAGTGATATGACGGATTATTGCATTGTTTGGAATGAAAGACTCAGAATTTGTACCAGGCCCCAAGACCATAAACTGAAAACAGACTTAAGTCAAAATTTCAAATTGATATAACCTTCGAAATAATTTTGATAATAAAATAAAATTTGCATCATATGTTTGAATTGAAGTGTTTTGCACATTTGTAAACTTTTGAGCTAATACATTGAATGATACTGAAGACATTAAAAAATCAAATTTTGACTTAAGCCTGTTCTCATTTTATGGACTTGGGGCCAGTTAGTAAAACCATGCTCTTTTGTTTCAGATCCAAATAATTTCTTTTTTCGATAGTTTTTTTTAAAGAAACAGAAACTGAAACATATCTCACGAAATGCATTTTAGATAAAGAGGTAGAGCCACGAAGTACCAAAATCGGCCTAGTCGCCAAAATAAATGAAACTTTCTCAAATCAAACTGGAAGATTTGTAGGTTATAACACAATTTATTTTTTAACAAGTATGAATATCTTTTCTAGTTTTCTTTTTACAGTCGTTTGAATTTGGTATTGTATTCCAATACCACAGAACGTCATGACGTTGACATTTTATATATTATAACGTCATGACGTTACATTATTTATACAAGGTAATACACGAATGTTAATGGATGATAATCCATCAAAATAGGCCTTAATTCAACTATTTGGAAAAATTTTACCAGATTTTTCCAAGAATTTCTGAAACTTAGGATAAATAGTGTTTACTTTCTAACTCAAAGCTATTTTTGTGATTGATTGAAGTGTCATACATTTGATTATTTAAAAAAATCAAATACGAGGTCATGGCACTCTATAAAATTATTTCCATCTATTTCCCATTAGTTTTATTTATATGTATATAATTAAAAGATTGCAGAATCATCTCATAAAGCATGAACTAACCATACGTGAAATGTTAATTCATTTTTTAAAATAATAATAATGAAAGTAAAGACTTATCTCAATTAATCATTTTACAATTAAATGGTGTGTACCTCATCTATTTGCACAATAATTCATGTAAATGATCAATGTTGTCATTCCTATCTACATCTAATTTGCTCTCGTTTGCTTTAGTAGTATATATGCACCTTTCGATTTTCAGTCACCCTCTGCCGTGTGCTGTCTAAGTTGTAGTAAAATCGTATGGTGAGCACTTAGTAGTGCACAACTGCATGGATCATCTACCAGTCGCTTTTAGCATAGAAACACTGGGGGTTCTCGCAGTATCACTTTTCCGCGATTCGACACAGCTTTTCTGCGACAAGTTTTACTGCTTTTCCGCGATTATAATTTATAGCTTTTCCGTACCTCTTGACTTCCGTTAGCTAGATAAAACCTGTTGCCCCTTCCTTACCACAGGGGGTTTTAATCGTGGCTTTGCAGATTTTATCAACGCTGCATCGGTATGACACATCCCCATTCCTTAAAACATTTACTTTTCTGATTGGAAATCCATCGTAGATTATACATTTTCCCCCTGATTCAATTTCCATATTGTTTACATCTAAAACCTATCACCGACCAATGTGAAATGCGAGATTTATTTAATTTTTATCACCATGTGAGTAAAATCGCGGAAGGGAAGTATAAAACAAAAAGGAGAAAACACATAACATATAGTAAGAACCAATCGCGGAAAAGCAGTATAAAGTAGTTGCGGAAAAGCAACAAGGTACCAAAAATAAAATAGCGGAAAAGCAGGCCAGCCGGGATTCTAGAGTGCTACACTTTGTAATGGATAATATCTTAGCATAATGAAGTATTCTTTCTCTCTCTCTTTCTCTCCGTGTTTTGTTTCCTTTAACTCTCTTCTTTTTTTTTTTTAAATTAAAGAAAGTCTTCAATATCATTGTGTTAAAATAAAAGGAATAAATCTAGATTTGCAAAAATAAAAAATCTTTTTATTCAATGTTTAGAATTTCTCTCTCTCTCTCTCTCTCTGTCTCTCTCTGTCTCTCTCTCTCTCTCTCTCTCTCTGTGCATGTTTTGTTTCCTAGCTTTCTCTTTTTTTATAAAAGAAAGGCTGCATATATCATTGTTTTAAAAAGAAAAAAAACTAGTTATTGCAAAATTAATAAAAAAGAAATTTTTAATTCAATATAAAGAATTTAAAGTACAATTTTACATTAAGTCATCATACTGTCTACATGCAATGAGTAGCTCATTACCAAACACCTTACTGAGTACTGAAACAGCTGACTTTTCATCAAAAACACTCGCAAAGAAGATTTTACATGAAAGTTGAAAGAAATAGTCTACAGTCATATGGAGTGGCCATTACTGCACCCAACATAGCACTCACACTGGAGATTCTAAGTGAAAATAGATAAAGAAAGTAATCACATGTTTGTTTATAGCAGCCTATTACATGTGCTTCAACCGACATAAGACTCGTACAGAAAATTGTACGATGTATATGTGAAATTAAAGAAAAAAAAATTACATGTGAAGCTGCCCATCACCGCATCCAACACAAGACTCGCACAGTAAATCGAACATGAAAATTAAAGAAAAAAATTATTTACATATGGAGCGGCCCATTGCCGCATCCGACATAACACTCACACAGTAAATCAAACGTGAAAATTAAATTTAAAAAAATTTACACGTGGAGCGGCCAATTGCCGCATCCGACATAACACTCACACAGTATATCAAAAATGAAAATTGAATTTAAAAAATTATTTACATATGATGTGGCCCATTGCCGCATCCGACATAACACTCATAGGGTAATTGAACAAGAAAATTGAATTTAAAAAGTAATTTACATATTGAGGGGCCCACTGTCCCATCTGACAAAACACTAACACAGTAAATTTAAACATGAAAATTGAAGAGAAAAAATTATTTACACATAAAATTATATGATAAAGACTGTAAACAGCACATGTACCAAACACAATAAGTTCCCCAGTCTTTATTCTTCTGTTTCACTGTCTCCTTCATCCGAAGATTCACTTTCATCAACTGGAGTTGGAATGTTGTTTGCATCTTCGACAAAGTCACCCCAGTTTCGAACACCAAACCCAGTCTGTATATTGTGTCGGGCATTTCCTAGAAACCACAGAATGGCAGCAATGTGGGAGCACATTCCAACAACCCTTGCTCCAGCTCTGCATTTACAATACCATGCAATAATATTTCCTTCATCATATTTGATCCATATTTGGTACGATCTTGATGAGACATGCCGACTCTGTAGCCGAACCCTGACAAGACCTGACTCCTCTTTGTGCACTTGTATAAGACAGTCACCTTCCAAGTGCTCCTGTGCATAATTGGGTGAGAGTCGAAGGTGGTATGTCCCACAAGTTAGGTTCCGAAGTTGTTCTTCATCAAGATATGGAAAACCTAATACACAAATTCGAAACATCATGGTTGATCTGCATATATAAACTACATAATGGCATAAAATATCCCAAACCAATCTTCATTAGTACATGTAATAAATGTAACAATGTATATTTTTAAAATTCTCTAAATTTGCTAATTTTTTTTTTAAAAGTATTGAAACAATAATTAAGAACATAATGCATTGTATAACATTAGTACATATGATAAACACCTCTTAGATCTTCAACTGGTTCCCAGCATCCAGAGCGTCGATTTAAGTGCTGCTCTTCCACATGCTGTTGTAAGACATTAACTTGCTTGGATAGATGCAGCATTTTACATCCAAGAATTTCTTCTTCATCAGCATTCCCATGAGAGAGGGGTTTCAGATATCTGTAACAAATACATAAAAGATTGAAATACATTTGCATTAATATTTCAAGAAGTTATTATAATTCCATAAAAATATTTACATGTATATTTCTCACCTATTGCACAAAGAATATACAATCCTTATAAAGTCTCCTATGTACGGAATCTGGCTTGTTGGCAAAACATGTCCTAGGTACTTCCACTGTTTGATCCTTGAGTTCGCAGATTCCACAACCCAACGAATCTAAAAATTAGAAGAAATTTTTTGTAAACCCAAAAATTCTAATTCTCATATACATACATGAAAGTAAACTTTCAATCAATTTGATATCATAATTTCTCCCAACCCCCTTTTCAATCTCTTTCTCCCTGACTACACCACACACACACACATACCTTTGTGACAAGACGACTTGTATTGGCACTCTCTGTGGACATCTGCTTCTCTCCTTTGGACATGAATCAAGGCATATGGGCTTGGATACCAAGTTCTTCCAGATAATCTATTGAGTCGCGGAACCCACGATCAATGATAAAAATATCTTCCTCTTGCACCCAGTTACGAATGTCCTCAACGTTGGACTTCATGATATGCTTGATGATACTGGCGTCATTGTTTCGGGCAAGATATGGACCCATCACTGATATAAAGTGGCCAGTTGTTGACACAATGATCATGGGTTTCACTAAAGGGCGACCCTTATGTAAGCTGAAGGACTGTCTTTGGAAATGAAAATTTCCACTCTTGTTTATATAAATATATGTCCCATCCAAAACCAAAATTGCTTGATTTCCAGCTGGACTGTTTCCAAAAAGAGTTTGGGCAATCTGTCTTGTGTGATGCTGTATGACATCAGAACATGTAATGTGCTGGAAACCCAAATTCTCTAACACAAATTTTCCTGCAAGAGCTGATCGCACAGAACTTATACATCTTCTAATACTTGATTGTGATACATTGAAAAGTGTGGAAAGAACTCGATTGGATTCCCCTCCTCTGATTTTCATACGGAATATAGCTAAACTTGTCCTCAGGGATCTTGTTGAAGTAAGCCGAACTTTTCCTTCAATATAATGTAACAAGTCTTTAAATGAGTCCTTGGAAATGCCAATAAGGTCCACATATTCAGCATCACTGAGACTTTCATCATTGTTGAAATTAAGTCTTGTTTTCTCTTGCCTCTGAATTTCTGACCTCAGAAACTTGACCAATTGAGCTATTGTTGTTCTGTTAACTGTGGTTGTTTCAGAAATGGGTTGAAGATCCCCAATGTTTCCCTGTAGGTGATTAGGACAACATCTAGCTCCAGCCGGGATAATGATTTCCTTTGAAATAAATACTTGATGCCTTATGTCAACAGGAACAACAATGAGTTTTGGTCCAGGTCTCTTACATATACAGCAGGAAGAGTGGCCTCTCGCTGTGCTGGGAAATGGTAGCTGTACTGAAGGAGAACTAGCAGGCGTTGAAGACGATGGTTGAGATGTAGATGTCAGAAGTTTGTTTTTTCCTTTCTTAGATCCCTGCATATTAGACTTGCATATATGGCGGCACTTGTTGCACAGAAAATCTTCCTCACTAGGTGTTCTTCCAGATAATCTGGTAACCACAGATCTGTGACTCTTGGAAATAGCATATCTGTCTGTCTGTTTTGTTCTCCGAGGATAGAGGAAGCACTTATAAGACTTTTTTCCTGGCTATTAATCAATGATAAAGAAAAAAATTAATAAGACTACATTTGTATTTAATGATGGGAGATTTTTTTTTTGTTTGTATGCTCAGTGTGTAATAAATTGATTAATATGACAAACACAATAGGGTTCATTCTCAATTTCAAAATCATCTTTCCTTTCCTACCCTTCAATACATGTATGTTAAACAAGAGGCCCATGGACATATTTAATTCCTTAGTTTGGCCCAACCTAAAACCCTAGAGATAAGGTTTGTGGGCCCACCCTCTCCCTAGGGGCAATAATTTGAGGAAACTTTAACCTGCAATTATTGATGTTGTTGACATAATACTAATCATGGCCAGCTGTCCCTCAGAAAATTTTTACAGATATTTCTGATATTTTAATTCATATATATAAACCTTTGATCTCCTATTGTGGCACCACCCTACCCCTGGGGACTATGATCTGAACAAACCTAAATCTGCACTACATTAGGAATTAATTTAGCTTGTATTTTGATATGACTAATCATGGTCCTGCTCAGTAGAAATTTTAAAAAGAGGTTTTTTTTTTTTTTTTTAAAGTTGTATAATTTATGTAAAATGTTCATACCCTGTTGTAGAATTTCCTATCCTAAAGGGCCATGATTTTGATTTGAACAAACTTGAATTTACATTTTATCAGGAGGCTCTCACATAGGTTTCATCTTTTCTAGTCCAGTAGTTCTTGAGAAGAAGATTTTTTACCCTCTCCTATTTTTGCATTTTTTTTTATTATCTCCACTTGGAACAGGGTGTGACCTTTCATTAGAAGAAACCTGAATCCCCCTTACCCAAGGATATTTAATGTGCTGTTTGGTTGAATTAATTAGCTCATTCTTCAAGAGAAGAGGATGAACATGTGGAAAATTTACAATAACACCAATGATGACGACAGAGAATGGACAATTTTGATCAGAATTTGAGCTTCAGAATGAGCTTCAGTTCATATGAGCTAATAAATGGGCAGATAAGCTATCACCAAAGTTAAATAATGAATTAATTAAATATGTATAAATAACCAAAGAAATTAATTGATTATACAGTGTATTTTACCTTTTAATTAAATTCAATCAGCATAAAGGATTATCTGTTGAAATAATCTTGTTCAATTCCAAAGATCCATCAAAAAGGAAGCCCACGCTATAGTCTAGTCATGTAGAGTTTCACCTGCAGGCTGCAGGACATGTTATGCAAATTAATTGTTGACCTTATATCAATAATGAAAAACAGTATAATATATTATCAAATGTTGAATAGTATTTTCTTTCTAAATTAGTTTTCTTTTAATCATTAATCATTATTAATAGTAAAATTTAAAGTAAGACATACAATTAAAAACCATTGTATAATGCCTAAAAAGGGGGGGGGGAGGGGGGCAGGGCTTTTGAATATAATGTCTTTGAGATATTTCCTGAAGTTTTGAAAGTGACATATATCAGCAGATAAATATATAAATCAATTTATATTATTTTAGTTTTTCTGCTCTTAATTTTTTGAGAAAAAGTTGAATAAAGAAGATCCTCCATCTTTAGGAGTGACTTCCCTTGCAAGAAAACAAAAAAGTGTTAAAGTCCACAATTTACACTATTTACATACTTGTTCTAACTTTATTTTTTAAACAATATATTTATAAACCTGTAATTAAACAACAAAATGCTTATTTCTGTCCAAAATTTATTTTCTTACTATGTTTGTAATCATTGCACAATGTAAAACACATAATTATATAATATTCTAATTTTTCTAGCCCCAATTCGCAGACAACGTAAATAAATCTCGCTGTGCAATGTAAACTCGAATCTACTTAGAATTAATATCAGTATAAGTTAAACCTAGGGTAAATATTGGTTGTCTCAAATTTGGAAACATATGTATAAGTTGTAGAAATATCTTATGTCGTGTATACAGTTTTTTTTAATCAGATATGCTCACCAGCGGCTTAAGATAGCTCTGATATATGTATTGTGGTTAAAATTAATGTAAAAATCTTTAAATCTATGTATCAAATGGTAATAATGTGCTAAACTTAATGTTTTACAAATACTTACAGCCTTAGTTTACGATATGACACCAAGGAAACATCTATAACAGGCATAGACATCAACTGTGTATTTCACCCAGTTCATAAACTGAACAGACAACAGTTTCTCTTCTTCCAGCAAAATGCCAAACGGTATTATTTCGATAACAGCGCAAACGTCGCTGATGATATTTTTGCCGGAAAAGTTTTTGGGACGATTTCAAATTTATTTAAACCTTAAAAATCGATCAGCGAGGAATGCGCTATATTAGAAATATCGTCTCAAAGTTCAAAAGGGGGGCGAAATTCCGGAAAAAGTCAAATACATGCATAGGTTTGACTTTTATTGTGCATTGCCAGTATTCTGTTTGATCAAAATTGATGCGATTAGATAAAAAGGAATTGCAGAAAAATTCAATTAAAGACACTTGATTTTTCACCAAGCAGCTAGGCCGTATTTGGTAGAAAGTGAATTGAGTTCTTTTGTTACAAGAACTCAGACATATCTGAGATATCGTCTTGGTCATTCAAGAAATAAAATAGATATTAAATAAAATTGGTTTTTTGATCCGAAATATTTGATTCTTTTCCTGTAAAAATAACATTTTAACTTTCCATTACACATCACAATACAATAATTAATTGAAATTACTTGTATGATGATTAAGTTTATCAATTTATTCAATTTTAGGTGAATAATTAAGAATTTTCTTTTTAATGTGACATTGGCTTTATTAGTGTTAATTACCCTGTCGATATTCTAGTTTTATAATTAAAAAAAAATGTTAGATTAAATGTGATTGCGAGGAACAGTATTGTCATCACATTCGGAGATGTACTAGGGACACTAATTCTCATATGTCATGTTCATTTGTCGGCTAACCAATATAAATTGCTTAATATTTTAGTATTATTCACTTTTTGTAAATGATAAAAGATTTATAACGCATATAATACTGAAAAATAAGTAATTTTTATTGAGGTATTATTTTTAAATTCATGAATTGAAGTGTCCATCAGAATAAGTTATTTTACTTGTTTTGATAAAATCCAGACTCTACCTTAATTCATTTTTTTTTTCATCTAAGATTCATTATTTAAAAGATACCATTATCTTTTCTTTTCAAAAACATTTCAGAAAGAGTTTCCAATGACAGAGTCAGTTTCTGCAAACAGAACAAACAGATGGTGTTGTATGTATAACTATTAGAGTGATATCGAAATATGAAATTGTGATAGATGTCGAGTTCAATTTTACTAAAATCATTGCTCGAGTTGACTGAGTCTCACGTTAGTCATAGTCGTAGAGTATCGAAATATGTAATCACTGTGGCCAAGGTACAAAGAATCTAGCCATTCATCCAAATTGAAGCAGTCATTGGCCCTCATCATATTAGGCTTCTTTTCACTCTTATAATCTTATCATGAAAACCTCTTTTTTTCAGATCTCTATGCTTTATGCCGTGCTACAGTGATATCAAATACAGGAAATTTTTCTTGCACAACAATGTCGATGAATGTCACTCTCGAATTTCCCAAATATAACTAATGCCATGCAAAAGTAAAACAAAGGGGGCGTAACTTTTGGGGTTTTATAGGTAAATATAAATATATTCGCTCCCACCAGTTGTAACGTTTAATATTACATCATCTTGGTACCTATGAGGCACGTTACATTAGTTGGGTTCGAAGGTACCTAGATTTAATAAAGAAAAGAAGTATATATAAACAGTCAATACATATATTTATTACACAATCAAAAACAATAAAAAAGTTCAATAAATATTTAAAATGTCTCTTGTAAGAATACTGTTGAAATTCCACGGAGCTCGGGGAATCGGTGCTTCGCATTGCTACATATAGGTGGAACTCGGAGTTCTGTGCTACAATGTGTACAACTTTTCGGTGCTATTTGCTTCTTCTACTATGCGTAACTATACAGGCACAATCAAGAACTTTAATACTACGATCAGGATTATATCTGTAATCTAAAATTCCAGTTCTAAATAACAAACAATCCTCCTCCATCCTATGTTAGCATGTCATGTAGATAGGGCAGTTCTTGTTCTTGATGTGCCGACAAACAATTTTAACCTATGCAACAAAGAATGGTCTATTATCCGAGTTGGTGCTCGGACCTACTCTGTGCTACATGTACCAGGTGCTCAATGTCGCCGGTGCCAAAATGCACCTAAATTAACTTTAGATAAATTCTCAATAAAAATGGAATAAATTACTCTAAATTCATCATATATACTGAAGTTTAAGGTAATGCATGTAATCAAAACTAAGCAAAGACGTTTGTTGTACCAAGTGTAAACATGCATCTTTAGTTCTATAACGAAAACATAACAATGAAACGTACATCTTAGACAACAATAGAGGCTTGCTATGCAGGCGCAACAAGAGGGGGGGGGGGGGGGGTAGGTGGGGAGAGAATCAGTAATATGAATAAATCTTTTTCTGTTTATTGGAAGAGAAATATTTATACATGTATAAAGGAGATATGATCGTTTGCAAAACAAGTTAATACTTCTGTGTCAATGAGACTATAGTCAATTAATAATGGCAGAATGATCCATACCATGCTAAGTACTCTTAAATCTTTAATACTGTATATCAAAATGAAGAAAATGGATAATAGCATACGCATACAATGCAATCTTGTGTATTTCGTGAGTGTTATTAGTTCAGTAGAGAAAAGAACCATGCAGACATGTAGTTACTTTTTCTAAGAAATTAGAGAAATCCAACAGAGGGATATCACCTCAAGACATCTATCTAGAGAAAGAACCCTCCGCCACATATTTTTAACACCATTGCCGTCCAGGTCATTCCCCATCACCGTTTCTTTTCTTTTTTTTTTTTTTTTTAATATTTTGAGCAGAGAAATATCGATGATAAAAATGTGTTTGGCAATGATTACGATGGAAAACAGCACAAAGAATGCAATTCTATATTTTCAATCGAAGGAGCAAAATATATCTTTAAGTTTTAATTGATTATAAATGCATCAATATTTTCCCCTGACTCTTCTTATATGAACACATGCTTTTAACTTCAAATATCAAAATTCCAAAATCCCAACATCTCAAAACCTTCTTTTTCTCAAAATCTTTAGGAACCTTAAGCTTTCAGTCTTGAAATAATTTCCCTGAATTTATTTTTTTTATACATAGACCCATTGCCACAAATGAATAATTTTAGAAAATCATTCCGAATTAAAAGAAAAAATATATTTTCAATATTTAATATCATTATATGTTTTCTGTCAAGGAAAGTTATATAAATTTGAGCTATTCAGGGAAAAAAAATCACATATAAACAAGTATGAATTTACAGCTACAATATTTCATAACATATTCCGGAAGATTCACAAATCAGAGTTAGGTTTGATATGTTACTTGAGGAAGTAAACAAATTTTTTCATGTAATCAGTACAGACAAAATGGTGTTTGTTTATTTGATTTGGAGGTCCGTGTTTGCTCTGCTCCTATTTTGCATTGTCTAATGGACTTTGAGCTTGAATACTGTTCGTTATCTCCATATATTTCATTGATGTATGCTTTGGGTATTTTGTCTTTTCTTTTTCTGTCTTGCTTTGCAAAGTCGTGTGCTGCGTAAGAATTTGATTGATACATTTGAAAAAAAAAATTGCATGTAAGGATTTTAACAAGTGTTTAAACACTTTATTTTTCAATAAAAAAAAATTAATCAAATGGAACTTGATGTTTATATCCGTATATTATTTGTTTTGGAATAATCTTAAGTAAGATATTATAATTTGATTACACGAATGTTGTGAAAAAATGCATTTTTCTAAATAAAAATAATAAATTAATAGTATTATATTGAAAACGTTATCTGTAGTCATGGACATATCACAGGATGAAACTCCATCTTTCAGTCATCTGAATGGTCACTGAAAGTACATCTGGACAGTTGACTGAATGGCAGATCTCTGCATTCAGTCACATTTCAGTAATCTTTCGGTCACCTTTCAGTTAACTGAATGGCAGAGTTTCCTCCTGTGGTACATGTATTTTAATCTGTTCTGTCTCATAGTATGGTTCATGTTGCATTTTAGCAAAAACATTAAATAGATATCATGACTACTTTAACCAAGTGATAAGGATGATTATAAATTTAAAAAAAAGTAAGCAGTAATTTTATCATTTATTTTCTTGATTTTAAAGGGGAAAGTGCTGTCTTGGATTTGTATGGAATAGAACAATTAATCAATGTGTGGGTGTGTATTTTTTTATCTCTCATATTTAACATTTCAATGAAATTGAAAAATTGTTGTAACTGTCGCAGATTAATAGTATTTGGATCATATATTTTATCTATCTATTTATTTATTTATTTATTTATTTATTTATTTATGTATGTATGTATTTATTTATTTATTTATTTATTTATTGTGTAGAATGTAGGCCTGGTAATTTTGGAAGAGATTGTGATATTCCTTGTCCGCCGTCTTCTTACGGTTTGCACTGTCGATCGACTTGTAACTGTAAAGAAGATGAATGTCACCATGTAAACGGATGTACAAGAGATCCATCTGGTATATGCAATTATAAGAGGCATGCCTTTTTTCAGTCAGAATGCAAATTGCAATGGCACTAGGAATAATAGAAAGGCTTTTTGTTCTCATACAGAGTGTGAAGCACGAATGTGTGGTTACTATTGCGAGAGGTTTTGCAAATATCCAAATAATGGTTAAGAATGTCAGTTTAAATATTTTATTTAAAGAAGTTTGTGACACGTCTTATGGATATGCAGGTAACTCCTTCCATTTCAGGACTTCCTGATTGGCTAAAAGAAATAGCTCCCCCGTTGTCCCATCGAAATTGATTTTCTTAATTGAAATTAACAAACCTGCAAAAAGGATTTAATATTTTGAGCTGTTAAATATATATGAAGTTACATTGTGCCAACCATTGTACTGTATAATCTTCCAAGAAATTTGCAGTTGATCTAGTGCATCATGCTCGCGAAATCATATCCAATTTTTACGTTTTATCTATCAAATAATTTTCTTAATATATTTCCAACGTTTTTGGATTTTCTTTGCTCTGAAAATTCTTTTGTTGTGTGTGTTGGGGGGGGGGGGGGATGGGGGATTCATTGTCCATCGCAATTGATCTTTCAAGGCTGATAGGACGACAAAACTATTTCTACACTCATTACTAATACATACCATAATTACTGGTGTAATTCGTTATTAAAAATCACCTACCTAGTATTAAAAAAAAAGGTTACACTACAAAACATACTTTGTTTTTAAATTAATTGTATGTTTACCAAAAAGTTGCTGATTATATTATAGATAAGCTAGTATCTTATTTTCAGCGAAAAATACCACGCCATTGAACAGTTCCAAAAGTTCTTGGTCATCGGCTTTGACTGCTTCTGTATTTTCAGATTCAGCGTTGAAAACAATTGATAAAGGTATATTTTATTTCCCGACACCCGACATGTTTCACTCTTTATGGAAGATTTTACACGGGTACTTAAAATAAGGAAATTACGCAAGCATGTCAAGTTGTAGAACATTAATCGGAAAATAACTTTTTTGAAGATTTTTGAATGTGTTATATCAGTTAAAAATTAAAAGCGTGTATTTTCATTTCGCGGATAATCACGCGATAAGTAATCATCATGATCATGAATATTTAGGATTCTACAGTAAGTCTTTTTCTATAATTTCTAATAATGTATTATTAACACCTGATTACTCTAATACAGAGAAGGCATCAAATACTACTAACAGTCCTAATAAGGATGCCAAAGTGAAAAACGAAGAAATTGAACATTCTAGGACTTTAATTTTTGGTATTGCTACTTTTTCAGTTTTAGCAGCAATGTTACTTACTGCTTGTATATGGACTTTTTTCCCGAAGTATTGTTTAAGTACGCTCAAACAGCCTCGGCATTCAGGGATGTAAACATTTTTAGCTACTTTAGAGAAACCCAAACAACACTTTGATTTTTTTTTCTCACGATCATCAGATTGTTGCTTTCTTTGTGAACATCTTTAAATCGCAGAAATGCATATACTTGTCATCAAATATGTTTTTATACATGTTACTTTGTACATCATACAGATAAATCTAATAAACTATTGCCAAAAATGTTCCATTAAGTTCAGTGCTAAGAACAGGAAATAAGTTCACCTTCAATAACGTCTATGTTACGAATACTGTCCTTTCTTTGTTTTCTTCCCTGGGCGATAGCATGGAAGGTAAAATCAATGCAACGAATTCCACGAGATACTAAATATGATGTACAAAAATCAGTTTTATTTCTAAGTGTCCGGGACATAGAAGATACTTGTAATAGTAAATAAATGCCAGAATATTCAATGACTTTTTTTTTATTTTCAATTT